CACAGGGGAAGGAGCTGACCATCAAGAATTTGGCCAAGCCTCCTACCCGGCCAACTGTGTCCTCAGATATTCTTCCCACAATCAGCGGTTGTCAGATATCCAGGGACTGCACCACTACCCCCAACACTGAGGGCCCTTAGTCCCTTGAGTTTCTGCCCCCCAGGGTTGAGAGATGCAAGTCTGAGGGCATTCCTGCCTGCCTGGGCCCATGCCTTTTTCCAGGACAGGTTTGGGATCGGGGGCCATGGTTTAGACCAGGCTCCTCAAACTACAGCCCGCAGGCCACAATTGGCCCACCAAAACCGCCGGGTGTTTTTGCCTCATTTGTTTTTTTACTTCAAAATAAGATATGTGCAGTGTGCATAGGTATTTGTTCATAGTTTTTTTTTTTAAACTATAATCTGGCCCTCCAATGGGTCTGAGGGACAGTGAACTGGCCCCTTGTTTAAAAAGTTTGAAGACCCCTGCTTAAAGCATTATGGGAGTAGAGAGTCTCATCTTCCTCCTGCAGAGATCTCAAACTGCAGGTGGTTAGCAGCACAAGGAAGAACCTACTACACTGCTCGGCCTTCTGGACTGATGTATTCACTTAGCAATTTTCCTGTCAATGGACACAGGGTTGATTGCAGTGTTTTATATTAAACATGTTCCCTGGGAAAGACATGTGGGTTAAAGTATGCGGGGAAATTGCTGAGTGGCTTTGCTAGGTAATGTCAAATTATTTTCCAAAGTGGTTGTACCAGTTGTTATCTTTACATCTTTGCTAAACATGCTAAGAGAGCATATGGAATAAAAACAGAAAAGAGTATGGGAAATATTCTGTTGATGTTATAAACAGTACAAGAAATGCTAAACAATAAAATCCAACCTGAGTAATCTTTGTTCCGGCAATAAATTTCATTGCTGCAGATGATTCTTCTTCAGAAATGGGGATTCCATCTAAATGAGTAAGAGTCTTTAATCTGCCAACAACACTCAGCCTCAATGTGGCTGGCTTGGGAAAAACAGTGAAAAATTCATTCTTATAAAATGGTACCTATAGTATGGCATTCATGGAAGAGAAGTGCTTCTTCATTCCTTTATACATAATTCAAAATGTTGTATCTCATTTATTGTAAACATCCAGAAATAAAGGCTAAAGTTGGTATTTAAAATAACAGCTGAAATTGAATATATTTTAAAATTTATCTGTTACAGTGGAAGTTGGATAATTCTACTCTTGGAAGGAGGGACTCCCACAAGTTGTTGCAAAGTGTGCCTTTGATAGAAAGTGTTGAAAGAACAACTCTCTAGCGACACTGTTTATCTGGGTCAGCAGTAAACTGGTCAGCTCATGTGGGATTCTTCCATAGGAATCCTGCGCTCTTGACAACCACTTTGGCAACAAGGAGATAGCTACCGGTACATGTACATGGTGTTTATCCTGGGAGTCTGTTTTGGCAAAAGAAAAATTATTCTGCAATTATGCTGCACTAAAAAGATGAAGCACACTATAAATATAGTAATATCACATTTTCTTTGTCAAAGAACTTGAATAAAACAGCGTGTTCCAAGTAAGGGGTACAGGGCTAGAGGTTTATCTTTAAATTTCAAACATTTTTCACAGTATTAAGAATGTATGTATGTGTGTTTGTGCATATATAAAACATATACAAATGTTAGAAATTTAAAATACGAGATAAACATAAAACATATGAAAGGTAAACCTTGCTATCACTAGAAAATAAATTACTTTGCTTTCATTAAATACATATAGAAATATTTGTGTTGAAAAAGTACATAGTAATATCATCAATTTAATAGACCCAATCATGATTTAGTCCCTTTTAGAAATACTGAACATAGTCCTATATAATTCTTTTTAACGTAGGAAAAGGAAGATTCTGGAGACCATAAACTTGAGGTTTATTGTAAATACTTGGAAATTGCCTGAATTATATTAATTGAGTAGTGAAATTATTTAGCATTAGCCTATATATTTTATGATGAGAATAAACAGTGATCAATAAAAAATCCATTTTAGAACAGAATCTGTAAGCCATTTATATTTCAGATTTCTTAGGGAGGGTGACTTTTGGATCAACCATAAACTTACTGCCATTGAATTGGTTTAAACTCATCTTAGCCCTATAAGATAGAGCAGATCTGCTCCCTAGGGTTCCTGAGCCTGTAAATCTGAACAGGCAGACTCATCTTTCTCTCCAGCAGTGACTGATGGGATTGAACTGATGATCTTGTGGTTAGCAGGTCAATGCTTAACCCAATATACCACCACAAATCCTTTGGACTTAAAGTAGAGATGAAATAATGCAAACTACAATATTTTACATTTTTACATTTACACATTAGATTATATTAGAAATCAAATTTTGTTTCCCTCTTAATAGTATGCCACTCTCACTATATTATGTTATTCTTAGTTCTTATGCTTGGTAAAGTTCATATATAACACATAATATATATAAACTTTTGGGAGGTTTGTAAGTGGCAATAACATCAAATATTTTTAAAGTCATAGTGCTTTCAAAATATTAGAGAGCATTTACAAAAATATGCCATGAAAGCATAACCTTTTATAATAGTAATAGTTGATTGATTTGATCACTACACTGAATTTCACTTATGAAAGAGGTAAAAATTGTAGGATAACACAGATGGTGTCTCTATTTCTGGAAAATGAGAGTAGAGATCCAGGAGGATTAAGGGAGAGTTGAGTGGGGGGGAATCCATCACAAGGATCAACTATAACCCCCTCCCAGGGGAACGGACAACTGAAAAGTGGGTGAGGGGCGACAGAGGACAATGTAAGATATGAAAAGAATAATCTATAACTTATCAAGTGTTTGTGAGGGTGAGCGGGTGGGGAGGGAGGTTGGAAGAAATGGGGAACAGACATCAGGGGCTCAAGTGGGAAGAGAATGCTTTGAAAATAGTGATGGAGGCATATGTGCACATGTGCTTGACACACTGGATGAATGTATGGATTGTGATAAAAGATGTAAGAGCCCCCAATAAAAGTATTTAATAAAAAGAAAGAAAGAAACAATCTGGTTTTTCAAATATAAATTTATCTACTATATACCTTTTGCCATGGATTATGATGAATATCAAGCGTGAGGAGGCTTGTGGTTTGCTTGCATAACGTATTTATGTCATCACCAGATTTCTTCAGTTGATTCCAGCTCAGATCTAAGTGTTTCAGTTTCATCAGACCTCTAAACCCCTCCAGGGTTATCACGTTATTATGGCTCGCATCCAAATACTCCAAGTTATGCTGAAACACACCAACAAGAGTGATGCTAAAAGACTGGTGATGCATTTTTATACCGTTCTTTTCACCAAGTGTTTCATATGCTTTTTAGGCAATCCTCTCAGAAAACACACACCGTAGTTAAAAATGATAACAACTTAGGTACTAAAAAGCTCATGGTTATCTTATTTTCATTATTTTTTGTTGCATTCTCCCTCACCCTTATATCACAGATACAAAATTTTTTTATATAAAAGAGAAGGTACAGAGAAATTGGCAAGATAATTAATCCTCAACAAACAAGGAACACACTCCTTAATATTTAGTATCCTGGGTTATACCTTTAAAACCATAGCTTTGTGGGAAAAAAGGTTCATCTTCAAGGGTAGAAAGTAAGCTCATTAATTCTATACTATAATTTTCTGTTTCTAAGATGCATGGATTTTAGTAAAAGTAACACATGGTCTTTGTTGGAAATTTGGAAATGTAGTAAATAAAAGGAAAACTAGCCTATATAGTCCTGGTGCTTAGAAAGAACAGCTAAGATTGTGGCATTGGACTGAAGATAATCATTTGGGAATTGTGTATCATAAAAAGATAATTATCTTGTTTCTTTGAAAAAGGGGTGGGATCATCACTTTTGTATCCCCAATATATAAAATCAGACTCCATGAACTCAGTAAATATTCACTTAACGCTATTTTCAGTTTCACAGCAGGGCTCTCTAGTTAATATTTGTGTTAGTTTAAATTTCTCTTAAATTACAGTACCAAAAACCAAATTCACTGCCATCAAGTCAATTCCAATTCATAGCAATCCTATAAGACAGAGTAAAATTGTGCCATTGGGTATATGAAACAAAGTGCTTACAGGAGCCAGACAGCTTTATCTTTCTCTGGCTGGTGGGCTCAGAGATCCAAACTGCTGACCTCGGAGTTAGCAGCTCAGTGCGTTGCCTACTTCATCACCAGGGTTCCTTAAATTACAGTACAGACCAGTTTACTAAGATTTAAACCCACAGCATGTCTTTCAACTTCTCATAGGGATAATTATCCATTTTCTAAATACAAATTATCTGTCTCTAACAGGAAAAATTTAACAACAGCTTTTGCATTGAAAAGTATAAATCTATGAAACGTATTGCATACTTATTTCCCTGATCAACTCTGATTGAACTGTTGGGGCTATTTTCAGAGGGAAAGATTGATTCCTATTCATTTTTCTCAGACATTCTCTTTTCCTAGTTGTTCAATTGGCAGCTGGATATATTTTAATTTACCTAATGTGGGCACCTTGTTTAGTTTTACCAAACTGCTGATAATACAGCTTGCAACCCACCCACGTAATCGGCTCCTACTTTTTACCAGAGGGTTTAAATCTGAGTCTGACTCAAAGGCTAGTGAGAGGATTGTATTATAAGCATGCAAATAAGTAGGGTCCAGACCATGCTGCTACAAATAAACAATGGTTGTCAGCTGCAAGGTCAGTGGTTGGAAGCTGCCAGCAGCTCCATTGGAGAAAGACAAGGCTTTCTACTCTGGGGAAGAGTTACAGTCTTGGAAACTCACAGAGGCAGTTCTGCGTTTTCTTAGAAGGTTGCTATGAGTCAGAATCAATTCAATGGCAATGAGAATGAGAGGTGATAGAGAGGGGATCTATAAACTAAGAAAGATCTCAAAGATAAAATTTTTTTTTAAGACACAGCATCAAAGTACTGTGTTAAGGTGCATATTTGGGTGATGGAACCATGAAATAAATGTAGGCAAAGGGTGACTGTAAAGGATGGTGACTTGGGAGGCAGGGGGCAAAATGAATGGGCTATGGGGAAGGGGCTTCTGCAGTAAGTGGCAAAATTCTATTTCTTGATTTGGGTGCTAGTTACAAGGACATTCACTTTATAATAATTCACTAAAACGTCGTATGTAATTTTCTGTATCTGTTTTATTTTACGAGAAAAATATGCAAACATGTTCATCTGCTCTCTCTGATATCATTATAGTCGATTGTAGGCACACATTTATGTATCAGATACTTGATGCTTGGGAGCTCACTCTCTAGCCACCTTTGCCACGCCTCCGATGTGCAAGTACCACTAGGGCCTAAAATCTACCCAGTGCTCTTATCTGGGGAAATGGACATGGTTAGTAATCCTCCATCAAATAAGTTCTGATGACGCAAACTAATTTTCCATTAAAAGAGAACAACGAAGTCACATTGCAAAATACATGGTGAGTTCAATCACTATCTAAACCTCTTGCATTACGTTGACTCCTTAAATTCATGGCAAAGAAAATTTCTAATGACTATAATAGGCCTTTGAACTGCTAAAAAATTGTCAGGGAAAAATGCCAACCATCTACATCCAGTTCTGCGATCTCTACCAAGCTATTTTCCCTCTTCAGCTGCATACTAAACCCAGCCAATCTGAAATTCTGTGTCCTGAAAAGGGCTTAGGGACATAGAAGCTCAAATCCTAGAAACTTATGGTAGCAGACCAAGTAGCAGACCCCACCACGATGGTAGAAGAAGCAAATGCAAGGGCTTTGGTGTGACTGGAAGGCGGGGAGCAGAGAGAGAGTAGTAACTGAGAGTGATGACATGGTCTAAAAGGAATGAATGGCCTGGGACCCATGGAAATGGGATGCTGGCAGGTTGTGCTTCTGGAACCACATGTGTAGTGCTTTTGTCATCAGCTACAAAGCAAGGGGAATGATGGGGAAGATCTATGTCTAGGTATCCATGTGCACTACTGTACTTGTTCCTGTGCTGTACGAGAAGACACCTATGAATCCAATAAGATGTGTGTGTGTGTGTGCTGTTCAAGTAGAAAGGATACGAAGAAAGAAAAAACAACCTAGTTAATGAACAGATAGGAAGAAACAGCAACAGTAGCTGTCAAGTGGCATAGTAAGAACGGAAGAAGATGGCAAAAAAGAAGAGCAACAAACAAAGGAAGAAAATAATGGAATGACCCTTTCAAAGAACATTTAAAAAGCAACACTTGTAATTTTAGTTTTAAATAGGCAAGTTTACTTTTATTTTAAAGTAATATATGTTCCCCGCCCCCACATAAATATGTATTTTGTCTGCAAAAAGAAAAGAAATCTATTTAAAAGAAAGTAACATTACATGCTCTGTTCCTGATTTGGGCTTGTAAACAGTATACATGTGGCTATAATTACCATAACCATTTACCCATTATATATTAATAATTTTATTTTATCTAAATATCTAAGTTTAAAAGGATATTTCTTACCAAGTGATATACATCATCTAAACAAGTAAATTCATTAAAGCTGATATTAAGTTTTCGAAGACCCGTTAACTTGGAGAGTTCTCTCAGTTTACTCAGGCTGTTTCCATGTAGATTCAGGCTCTAGTAAAATAAAATTTAAATTTAAAAAAAATTAAAGAGAGGTAGAGAGCCGATATCTTTTACCATATTTATGTGTGGATATCTAAAATGTTTGGAACAATTACTTGAGTCAACACAATAAAAAGTAAAAAACTATATTGAACAAGTAAATAAGAAATAAAAATCTAATGCATGATATGAAAAGGCATAAGTAGTTATATTCACATCATTGGATTATTTGGTTAATTTGACTTTCTACTGGGTCTAAATAACTGACATAAAATTCTTTTCAGAAAATTTATTTTGGAAGACTAATTTCTTTTTATGTATATATTAATTTATTAAAAGATCATTAAAAATATCATTTTATTTGGGACTCTCACAGCTCTTATAACAATCCATACATCAATTGCATCAAGTATATTTGTACATATGTTGCCATCATTATTTTCTAACTTTTACTTTCTATTTGAGTCCTTGGTATCAGCTCCCCTTTTTTCCTTCCCTCCCCCCACCTCATAACCCCTTGATAACACCTTATTATTATTTTCGTATCTTTCACGGACTGCTGTCTCTTTCCCCCCCATGTTTTCTGTTGTTCGTCCTTTGGGTGTGGGTGTGCGTAGGGTGATTAAGTGTTGATCATTGCCATCGGTTTCCCCTTTCCCTCTTCTACCTTCCCCCTAACCTCCTGGTATGGCTACTCCCATTCCTGTTCCTGGATTCCATTTGTTGTGAGCTCTTATCTCTTTTTGTTGTTGTTGTTTTAAATCATTTTATTGGGGGCTCATACAACTCTTATCACAATCCATATATACATCAATTGTGTAAAACACATTTGTACATTCATCGCCCTCATCATTCTCAAAACATCTGCTCTCTACCCAAGCCTCTTATCTGTATCTGTGTACATGCTCTGATTTGGCCTGCAATGAAAGGCAGAACTGTGGTCATGATAGTGGGGGATGAGGAAGCCTCAAGGAACCAGAGGAATATTGTGTGTTTCTTTGGTGTTATACTGTGCCCTGGTTGACTCATCCCTTTGTTGTGACCCTTCTGTGCGGGGATGCCCCATTGTCTATAGATGGGTTTTGGGTCTCTGTTCTGAACCCCCTCGTTCTCAACAATATGTTCCTTGTTTGTTTTGGGTCTTCTGATGCCTGTTACCCAATCCTGTCGACACCTCATGATTGCACAGGCTAGTGTGTTTCTTCCGTGTGGGCTTGTTGCTTCTCTGCTAGATGGCCACTTGTTTAACTTCTAGCCTTTAAGACCCTAGATGCTCTATCTTTTGATAGCCAGACACCATCTGCTTTCTTCACCACATTTGCTTATGCACCGGTTTTGTCTTCAGCGACCCTGCCAGGAGGGTGAACACCACAGAATGTGCAGTGGATGGACTTTGAGCTTCTGCTCAAGCCCTGCCTCAACACAAGAAGACTTTTGTCTTAACAACCTAGAAGATTCATTTCTCAGGCTAACCACTGGGCAATGTAGGCACCAAAGAGTCCATGTATACACTAGACATTCACAGAAGAGAGGATGGCAAAGATACACCTTGAATAGGTAAATTCATAAAAGGCCACTGGACCAAGGAAGGAGGATTGAGGGTAATATGATAGTATAGTGGGTACTAAAAGAGGAGATGATGATGTCAGAGAAGGAAGTAGGGAACAGTCTTAACACAATTTCTATATCATAATTTGGTCCAGATTTAACCCTAGGCTATATAAAGTGTATTGCTATTAAACTTTAAATATTTAGGAGAGATTATGATGTCTACATATTCTGCTACCTTTAAACTACAGCACTGTGAATGAGATGATTGTATTTATGTATAAACTACAAAAGAAACAATGGCATAAGAAAATGTATCAGTACCATTGACAACAACCTTTACAAGTGGGATTATCATGGTAAAAGTACATGTCTACATCTCAACCAAATTCATTCGCCACCATTTTATACCCTATTTTGTAGATAAAGACATTTCTGGCAATGTCTATTGCCAGAAAAACAAGTAAATTTCTAATCATTATCAACAAAGCTGAAATGATTAAGAGTGGCTGTTTTTATGCAGACTAGTTGATTCTATAGGTTGTATATGGATGTCACCCATGAGAGAGTCCACAGATACTTTCTACTTGATATCTCCAAAATTGAATCCATCAGCTTTCCTATACTTGTATATTTGCTTGACACTCTAAATTTTCAATCCTGATTAGGAGTTCCATTATCTACCAACTACAGTTGATCACTTCCATTTCCTCATTTTCATATACATTTGATTCTTGAAATGTTTCTCAAACCAACCACTTCATTCCATCACCACTATCAGTGCCATAGTTCAGACGATTACATACCGCCCCTGGAGCACAGCAAAAAAAATTTTTTAAGTTAAATTTCCCAACCACCAGTCTGATGAGTTAAATCCCCCCACAAGCAGAAGTAGGACCTTTAAAAAACGGGAGCTCAGAGCAGCCAATCCACAGAGAAGACCATATGGCTGGCCCCACTATGAGACATTCCTCACTGACCCATAGCCCTATAGGGGACAACACTGGAGATACAGTGTGGGAATTCCGCTCTATCTGATCCCACCAGACCGAGGCAAAACACTAAGGGCGTGCAAAAGAACAGCAAGGGGAACAGAGCAATGAAGTCCCCAGGGAATACCAAAAATAGACTTTGGGGTCAGGGCCTGGCGCCCCAACAGACTCGACTGGAAAACACTCCTAAAGGCCAACAAACAGTCCTTGAACTAACTACAAACTTTTCTTTCTTGTTGTTGTTTTGTTGTCATTGGCTTGTTGGTGTTTTGTTTTATTTTGTTGCTTGGTTTTGCTCTGTCTTGTTTTTGTGCATGTTATTATCTCTGTAGGTCTGTCTAAATAAGATAGGCTGGATGAACAATTGGGAGGAGAAAACAATGGGAACGACAGTTCCAGGGGAACATGGGAGAGGGGGAGGTGGGGGGAAAGGTAGTGGTGTTAACAAACCCAGGGACAAGGGAGCAACAAGTGATCCAAATCCGTGGTGAGGAGGATGTAGGAGGCCTGGTAGGGCGTGACCAAGGGTAATGTAACCGAGAGGAATTACTGAAACCCTAATGAAGGCTGAACATGATAGTGGGACAAGAGGAAAGTAAAAGGAAATAGAGGAAAGAACTAGGAGTCAAAGTGCATTTATAGAGGTCTAAACAAAGGCATGTACATATGTAAATATATTTATATATGAAGATGTGGAAATAGATCTATGTGCATATATGTATAGGTTTAGTATTAAGGTAACAGATGGACATTGGGCCTCCACTCAAATACCCCGTCAGTGCAAGAATACTTTGTTCTATTAAACTGGCATCC